CCACATTATTTACTATTAGTTTAGCCTTTTGTTCTGAATAAATTGCACTTATACCGTTTTCAAAGCCTTGGCCTACCCCCATCCCCTGTAGGTTCTTCTTCATAAAACTCCAAGAGATATTATCAAAAGCTTTCTCCGCGTCCACAAATATCAAAACTGCTTTAGTATTTATGTTCACTTCTAGTTTTTCCAAAATATCAATTATATTCCTCAAATTATCGGACAAGTGTCTTCCCGGGAGAAAGCCTGCTTGGTCTTTATGAATCTCTTCCATCAATACTTTTTTCAATCTCTTGGCCAAAATGTCTGCAAAAATTTTGTAATCCACATTAAGTAACGATATGGGGCGGTAGTTCTTAAGCTGAGTCTTTTCAGTCTCTGTCTTCGGTATAAGTGTAATGTACGCCTCTTTCCACGACTCTGGTGCCCTTTTCCCTTCCAATATTTCATTGCAGACTTCCTTTAAAGGTTGTAATAACCACTCTTTCAAAGATCTATAATATCTAGAAGTCAGCCCATCCGGTCCTGGAGATTTGCCTAATTGCATGTTTTGAATGGCACCTTCTACTTCCTGTTCAGATATTTTATAGTTCAACATTAGTTTACTTTCTTGGGAGATTTTTGTAATCCATTTGTCTTCAGAAATCGGTCTATGTCCATTTCTTTCTGTGGCCCTTGTGTATATAGTTGTTTAAAATACCTCTGGAAACAGTTTCTAATCTCAATTGGGTTGTGTATATTCTTTCCTTCCACTTCTAAATTTGTGATAGTGTTTAATTTTTGTCTTTTTTTCATTTGCCAGGCCAGCAATTTCCCACATTTGTTAGCAGATTCAAATGTTTTTTGTCTCATTTGTTTGATTTTCCATTCTATTTCCTGGTTCATCATTTCCATATATTGTACTTGATATAACTTTATTTCTCTCAAAATCTCCTGCGACTTTGGTTTTGCTCTCAATTTCTTTTCACTTTCTTTTATTTTCCCAAAAATTTTGTCTTTCTTCTCATTTTGACTTCTCTTCTTTATTGCATTCTGTTGTATCAGAAACCCTCTCATGACAGCTTTGCTTGCGTCCCAGATTACTCTTTTTTCTACATTAGTGTTCATATTTATTTCAAAATAGTCTCTCAAGGTTTTTTGGGCCGAGAACAGGGCCTTTTCTGCAGTGGCATCTCGTTTGTGGAATGTTCTCTCCAGGGAGATTTGGCTGGCCCCTTCATTATACATCTTTAGGCACCAGGCAAAAACGATGATTGACATGCCCTTTTAAAATGTGTTGGGGAGGGAGGGTTATTGGGCTGTTTTTGTTTTTGTTTTTGTTTTTATTATGTCTGTTGTGTTTTTATATTGTGATTTTATGTTGTAGCAGCCCTGAGACCTGCAGGTATATGGCAATATACAAATTTAATAAATATTAATAATAAAACTGCTGCATGCAACCCAATCTCTGAGCAGCAAAAAACTACAGGTGTGCTTGCGCTTCCCCAGGAATCTTTTCCTTAGAATGAAGGTCAACAAAGACTGTTGCATCTTTAGGATATATGGTTTGATTTACCCCTATATACAACCTGAGCTCACAGCATTAACACTCCAACAGATCTTGCTTCCTCATTGGGTGTCCAGGGAAGCCCCAAGCCACAGCTCTTGGGTCCAGCACAGAGCTGACATGCTTCTGTTTTTCCAGCTTCCTGCACCAGCCAAACTCACTCTCACACAACCCCTGCCTGGCCTATTCCCCTCCCCCCCCAAGGATGATGTGGCATCCAGCCAGGTGAGGGGGGTGAGGTGGAGAAAATTGCCTACCCACTTCCTGGAGAGGACCATTGCTATGGCAACCTAGCTCACTCTTTGAGATGCTGATGAGAGCACGTAATAGGCCAAGTAAGACCATTAGCTTGACAAAGGAACTAGACTGGTCTGTTCATCAGATTTCCTCTTGTAGATTCTAAACTCACCGCCACAGGATCACAGATCATGCAGACTGACCCCACAAATCCATAACAATATTAGTGTACTCAGACTTTTGGCGGGGCTTAGTTCCAGAAATCAGGGTTATGGTTTCATGCTGCCCAGATCATTGCTGTAGATTTTATTGAGGTGTTAACCTGTTTAGAGTTTCTGCATTGGTGTGTACACTGCCTTGTGATACCATATGAAAGGCTGTACAGAAATGTTTAAATAAATGAAAAAGCCTTCCATGTGCATCTAGGATTTCACCAGGGACAAAAGTAGGAATGAGAATATGCCCTCAGCCACATTCTGGAGACAGGGAGAGGCAGGGAACAAAGGATTCCAGAGCACACAGGAAAACAGCAGAAGCTTCTTCATCCCTTTTCCACCCTGCCTTTAGAACCACATGTGGCTCACAGACGGAAACCCACAATTACACTGCCTTGGACGAGAGGACCCTTTGGGTCCCTTCCAGGGCTACAATTCTATAATTCTATGAACCTTAAGAGTGATGGAAACCAGCATTTTAAACTGTGCCTCTGCTTAATATCCCTATTTACGTAACTCTTACCAAGCTTATTGTTGGCTTGCACCTGAGAAGGAAAAGTTTAGGAGTTCAATGCTTGGCAAGTAAGAGTCGTCAGCAAATGTAACAAGGTATTCTGGGTGTGAACCACACTTCACAGGTACTGCAAAGTTGGGAGCACTTATTATAATAGTGAGCGTGATCCATTATCATCAACACCACCCACATGTGACAAACTAGAATAGTAAGGCATGGTGCTACCCAATTAAAATTGCCAGGCTGTACTTCCATAATGCACAAGGAAAAACTGTATGTATGTGTGTGTGTGTGTAGTTAAAAAGGCTACCTTTCCCATATTAAATGTTGCAAATGCCCATTCAAAAGGAGGCAATTTAAAAAGGCCTGTGTCCACAAACTTTCCATTATTTTCAATGGGAGACCCAGATGCACTGCTCTCCTTATAACTTCTGTGTTTCCCATCCAATTGATATTCTATTTTATCACTTTCCCCCCACTCTATAAACATTTAAGAACTTATGGTTTTTAAACAGATTGGAAGGTAGGTACCCATTTTATAAGCAACTAAAAAGTCTACACAGACACAGTCTAACTGCTCTCTCTCTCCCTCTCTCCTTGCAACCCAAGGGACCTCTATGCTCTATTTATTTGGTTGTCATAGATCAGGGATGGAGAACCTACATCCCTGCAGGTGTTTTTGGTCTTGAACACTCAGAAGCCGCAGTCGCATTGGGGAATGAGGGGATGAAGAGGCTTTCATGTTTGTTTGCAACAGATTAGCACAGAAGAAGTCAGAGAGTGAGGGACATAAACATAGGCCAGAGCCTTCTTTGCTTTTTGTGGATGGGGGTTCCTACTTCAAGCTAGCAGTTTAAATAGAAACATTTCTTTGCATGGTGGTTTGCTTTTCTAATTCAGAGCTAAAGTTTGTATTTCAGCTGTCTGAAGATCTTTAGTTAAAGCTCAGTGGGCTGTACTATGCTAGTCCAACCCCATGCAATTCATGATCCTACAGTAGTCATGTCTGTTAACTTCAGTGTGTCTGTCTCTGCTCTGAATAAGACAAGCATTCGATACCACACAATGTATTTCAGTTGAACCTATGTAGCTGGTTAAGTAAGCACCTCTGAGTTCAATGAAGAAGAAGAGTTTGGATATGATATCTGGCTTTATCACTACCTGAAGGAGTCTCAAAGTGGCTAACATTCTCCTTTCCCTTCCTCCCCCACAACAAACACTCTGTGAGGTGAGTGAGGCTGAGAGACTTCAGAGAGGTGTGACTAGCCCAAGGTCACCCAGCAGCTGCATGTGGAGGAGCGGGGAAGCGAACCCGGTTCACCAGATTACGAGTCCACCACTCTTAACCACCACACCACACAATGAAGCTGAGTCCCAGGAAACTTCACACAGGATTGCTGCTATGCTGATCCTAATGCATTGTGTTATGGACCGCCGCTCTTTGGGGGAGGGACAACAGAACAACACAACTGCCTGCTTCTGGACTCCCCTTGGAGGTACCACAATGACCTCCTTCACTTCAAAAATTTACCACTGCACCACTTTGGGTATCCCACAAAATCTGGAGCATCATAGGTCCCTTGCCTCTGTGCTAACCTTTCTGCGACCTGTACAACCTTTTAATAGTACAATTTTAACAGGAATAGAAACAAACAATTGTTTTTAAGTTGAACTGATTTATTTGAATTGCTTTTTATTTTTGCATATGAAATGAATGCAATGAATGGGGCCTGTTAGCTTCCTTTTTGATTCATTGGAAAAACGAGCACATTCATCTTTTCCTGAGTACTGTTAAGTCCCCAGCTGGAATTGATGGACAGATGCTAATTCTGAGACCTCCTCCAGGCTGTGCAACAAAGTTGCATGACTTGTGTTCCAGTCTCACCTGAACTGAACTCCCTAGTGGTTTCAGCCTCAGTCCCACCTGCTGTTGAGGGATAATAATACTGTTCTACCTAACAGAGTTGTTGTAAGGATTACAGATAATAATTTTGAAGTGCTTTGCATCCTATAACAAATGCTGGTAGAACAAACTTCAGTTGGAAATTGTACAAGGGAACAATAAAAATGTCAACAATAATAATTATCCTTTTAAAGACACATACAACAAGTCCCAAGGTGAATTACAGTATGAAATTTGGGGAGCTTAATTCTTGGCTAATAAGATTCATCTGCCTACAAGCAGAATGTCAAGCACAAACCACTGTCTTGTGCGGAGTGAAACTTGCCTCTAACCATGGTTTGTTACGCTTGGTTTGCTTCATTGCAGAACAACAAGATGCCATTTGGGTTGGAATCTGTCTCACGTAATGAGTAGCTGGGATTTTAATCTTTTACCAGACACTGTGTTTGAAATCTGAAGGCCCTTTGTTGTTGCTCAGACGTCTCCTACAAAAGCACAGGTGGGTAACTAAGACCGCCACGCTTCATCTGGGAAGAGACCTTTTCCTGCCCCTTTCAGCAGCTGTGCAGTTCCCTGATAGAAGGGGGAAGGCTGTAGTTGAGGGATAAAGCACCTGCTTTGCATGCAGAAAGTTGCCAGGTTCAATCCCTGGCATCTCCAACTAGAACTGGGAAAAACTGCTCTGTTTGAGACCCTGGAAAAGGCAGCTGCCAGTTGCTATTGACCATTCTGAGTCAGGTAAATCAGTAGTCGGACTCTTTCTAAAACAGCTTCCTTATGTTCCCAGAATTATTGCATCAAACTCTGCAGCTGGTTGCCAGTAATAGCCACAGAAGGCCCCAAGAACCAATATCTGTGCCATCCTGGTTTAATTCCATAAGCAAATCTTACATAAAGTTGTTTTCATGTGAAGGCACATTGGTGTAACAAACAAACTTGTCATGGATATTTTTGCTTGGATGCTTCTGGTCTTTGCAGATTCGAGGTGTGCAACCGTCTTGAGAAAGATGAACATAAGCCCCTGTTTACCATATACAGTCCTGATTGCCCCCCATAAATCAAATGACTGTTCTATCACTATGTTTGTTTGTTTTTCAAACCTTTGGGAATACTTTGTTAAAATGCCAAACTGAGCTGCTGTTAACTGTAGCCATGCTTCAAGGTCCACCCCTGGTTTCTCAGCAGTGTGATCTCTGCCTCGTGAGTGGAAGGATCTCGTCTCTAGTACCCACCAGTTTGTTCAGAGCAGCGTTGGGATGACAGTGGAGTTCATAAAGTTCTTATAATGTCTATGGTTCTGCCTATGCGGGCTCTGGTCACATTCACACGATACATTAAAAGCACTCAGTACCACTTTAAACAGTCATGGCTTCCCCCAAAGAATTCTGGGAGCTGTAGTTTGTTAAGGGTGCTGAGAGTTAGGAGACCCCTATCCCCCCCATTCCCCTCCCCCCCGAGCTGCAATTTGCAGAGTGGTTTAGCAATCAATTGCTCTCCACAGGGAATTCTAGAACTGTAGCTCTGGGGGAGGGGGAATGGGGTCTCCTAACAACTCTCAGCATCCTTACCAAACTATAGTTCCCAGAATACCTTCGGAAAAACCATGACTGTTTAAATTGGTAACATAGTGCTTTAAATGCATGGTGTCAACTTGGCCTAGGAGAGCAGCAACTCATCCCCAATATCAGTGGTGGTTGTGGCTGGGTTGCCCTTGATAAAACTTGCCTGCCCCACCTGAAACTCACTGCTTTTGCCCCAGAAAGGAATATATATATATATATACATGTATTCACTGGTGGCAGATCAATCACCAATCTCTGGCATAATGTGTAATTTGAGAGTGCTCAGCTTTCCCTGGATTGAGCCCAAGATATCTCTTTTCTGGCCTCAAACTGGAATTTGGTGTTATCTTAATGTTCTGCCTGAGATTTATTAATAGAGGATGGAGAAAGGACACGATCATTTCCCCTATCATAACCACCTGGCAAAGAGCCATATAAAAAACCTGACGTTTCCGCCATTCTTTATTGCCTAGCAAATGCTGTCAAGGGAAGGTCATCTGATTCCTCACCCATCAATACAGGAAGGTGATAAATGTGTCACATCACATTCTGTGCCGCTGTCTTCACCCTTGGGAAAGTGGCGGCAGGGGAGGGGGGAGATAATGCTTTATGTCGATGTACATTGATTTTCTTTTATAATTGCTAAAAAAACTGAAATGTGGAGGACTGCTACTCCTTGATGCCATCAAGGGATGACAGCTTAGACGGCCAGTGCAGCATGGTGGTGAGAGCGTAAGACCAGGACCTGGGAGAGATGAGGGTTCAAATCCCCTCACTTGGCCACGAAGCTCACGGGGCGACCTTTAGGCCAGTCACGGCATCTCAGCCTCAACTACCTGACAGAGTTATTGTAGGGACTGATGGAGGAAGAGGGGTTGAACAATGAATGCAACCTTAAGCACACTGGAGGAAAAGGTGGGATATAAATGCAATAAATATAATAATATATATAGAGATCGTCTGATGCTCAAATGACCCAGGCCCAGCTTACAATGCATTTGGACCAGTGTGGTTGCAGCTCCCCCCCCCCCATGCGTTACCGGGTGTCAGGGCTGGAGTCAGAAGCAGGTCAGCACAAAGAAGGAGAGTCAGTTGTCAGTGAAGTTAACTCTTTATTCAAGGAAACAGCATACAACTCAGCAACACTTCCCCATAGGGAACAGCAGTTCCCCTATGGAGCAGTTGCCAGGACTGAAGGTCCCTGTCTTCCACCCTTTCTAAGGCTCTTTCTCTCCCAGATATTTCCCAAGCAGTCTCAAACTGCATCTGTGCACCTCTGGCCTCTGCTCTTCTCATTACTCTGCACATTCTTGGAGGGGATCTTGTCACAGCAGGAGAGGGAGACTCCAGGGATTCTCCACCAGTTGCTTGACCCCCCCTCCCTCTGCCTCAGCATCGGAGTCTGAACTGTTCCCTGTCGTAGGTTCCTCCTGCCCATTAAACCCTGTTGTCCCTTCACTATCCAGCACCTCCTTCCAGTCTTCCCCCTCTGACCTCTCCTCAGTGTCCCACCAACTTTCTTTCTCTGGGATTTCCCTTGGGGGTTCCCCCAGCTGGTGCCTCCCATTGTCCAGCCAGTTCCTGACATTGGGTATTCTATATGCAGTGCAGGATGTAATCCACCATAACTGGATGACAAGAAGATTCAAGAGTTACCCAGACCAGACTCAGATGCTCACCTGTGACACATTCACACTGTACATTGAAAGCACATTGTTTTCCTCATGGAGTGCTTTGGTTCACATTGACTGCTGATCCAGAGTTTGCCCTGTTTCCTGTGACCAGCTGCAAGGCGTTCCTCTGCCTAAAGCCACAATTAGGACAGGCACATGATGGAGGTGATGGAGTGAGACCCCCTAGGAGAAAAGGCTGCAGAATTTAGGACTTTTTAGTTTAGAGAAAAGGTGAGCAAGAGGTGACACAATAGAAGTTTATAAAACTATGCATGGCATGGGGAAAGGGGATAGAGAAAAGTTTCTCTCTCTCATAACACTAAGACTCACGGACTTCCAATGAAGTTGCATGTTGGAAGATTCAAGACGGATAAAAGAAAGGACTTGTTCATGCAACACATAGTTAAACTATGGAACTCACTCCCGCAAGGTTCAGAATTTCAAACAATGCTCTCACAGCTGAGACCCAACATCCAAGTTGCCTCAGCAAAGTCCTGGAGCAACTGGCTGAGTTTTACAGCAGGGCTAGTACTCATGGACTGGAGGCCTCACCTCCTGAGCGCTGCCTCCTGGCCAGTGCCATCCTGCCTTCATCAGGGTACTGGGGTTTACTGCTGTGGGGATCCCATCTCAAGGCCTTCTGGATCCCTGAAGGCATCTGTGGACCAGCCACCTGAGGTTCAGGGGAGGAGAGGGAGACTCCAGTGCCCATGGACTCACATGGGGTGAGCCAGGCCATGGCTCCATCTCCTCCTCAGAGCTGCAGTGGCCCAAAGAGTTTGCTTCCAATAAGTCTTGGTCTGAGGCTCTGACAGAAGATGCTTTCCCTCTGAATGTTGGCCAAAATGGACTGCCTCTCCCCATAGGAACCAACCTGGATCCTGCAATCACCATCCAAGGTCCTTCTTCAAGTGTGTCCTCCATGGGAGGTCTGGAGGGTGACAAGATGAGAACAGGCCTTTTCAGTGGTGGCTCCCCATTTGTGGTATGCTTTCTTTGAGGAGGCTTTCCTGGTGCCATTGTCATGTATCTTCAGGTGGCAGGCAAAAACATTCCTTTTTAACCAGGCCTTTTAACTATTTATGGCCTTTCTGAGTGGGTGAGATGTTTTAATGTAATTCCCTGCACGTCCTCTGGTCTTAATGTATTTATGCTTTTCTGTAAGTTGTTCATAAGTTGCTTTGAGTTGCCACTGTTTAAAAAGTGACTAATAAATGTAATAAATAATAAAAATAAATGTGCGTCTATATATGCAAAAGGATGCGGGTGGTGCTATGGTCTAAACCACAGAGCCTAGGGCTTGCCAATCAGAAGGTTGGCGGTTCGAATCCCTGTGACTGGGTGAGCTCTTGTTGCTCGGTCCCTGCTCCTGCCAACCTAGCAGTTCGAAAGCACCCCAAAAAGTGCAAGCAGATAAATAGGTACCGCTCCTGCAGGAAGGTAAATGGCGTTTCCGTGCGCTGCTCTGGTTTGCCAGAGGCGGCTTAGTCATGCTGGCCACATGACTCGGAAGCTGTACGCCGGCTCCCTCGGCCAGTAAAGCAAGATGAGCGCCGCAACCCCAGAGTCGGTCACGACTGGACCTAATGGTCAGGGGTCCCTTTACCTTTATATATGCAAATGAACATAATATAGTGTGGTGCAAATTGTGCAATTGGCCTGTGCTCTGAGCCTCTTAAGGTCCTAGTAGCTCTCCTTGGAAGCCATAAACCCACAGCTGTAAAACATAACCTAAGCCAATTTACTGACCACGGGTGTCCTTCTTGAGTAGGGGCACTTTGCTCCTTCTCCCTTGGCGACATTTGCATATGGACATTTGTTCCATGAAACTGCAAGACTGAGAAGAGATGGAACATTGCATTTGACTCTCCAAACTCCCTTGCAAGAGCACCACAACTGACGCTCATATTTAATTCATATCTAAAGCCTCCATTCGCTGCATACATTTTAAAAAAGCGCTCGTGGCATTTCCAGTCTGTTGCATCCTTGGTTCAGGAGGTCAGCACTGTGAAAAGCAGCTGTGCCCAGGATGGTAGAGCTTTAGTCAGGGTACAGCTGGCATTTGTTTGGAGTGGCACAGAAACACTATCCTACGGTTGGATGTACAGGGATGACCAGAGATATTTTGGTGCTGTAGCTGTTAAGATCCAAAGGGTTCTCGCTACAGTCAGAGGGCAAATAATCAGACATCTTCTTTGTCTCTGCAGCCTTTTCTCTGAAAGCATCCTCAAACAGCTTCACCCATTGCTTTGGGTGAGAAAAACAATTTAATTTGGTAATGTGATGGTCTCATTGATAGCAACTGTGAGTAAGGCTTATGGTCCCTGGGTTTTTTGTGCAGGTGATCTCACCAAGCCAGGGATCACACAGCAAACAGGTTGGTGACACAGTTCTGTGCAACAAATCAGATTGCAATGTTATGTGA